TTGTTTAATCCTGTCAGAGGTGAATATTCTATTGGCATCTAAATACTAAGGTGCTTGAATTCAGCAGTCCTTTAAACACACACAGTACCAGCTATTTTAACATAGTTGCTTACTCTGGTTGCTAAGTAGTTCTTTCCTAAACCAGCATAATCAGGACAGGTATGTCTGTGTGTGTTTACTCTTTACCAGTGTTCTACCTTTGATAGTATTGCTCAAACCTTCATGTTCAACTGACTTTCCTGGATTTTTTTTTTTTCCACAGAGTTTCACTACGCAGCTGGGACTCATAGTGATCCTCCTGTTTTCAGCCTCCCCAGCTCTGGGATTAAAGGCGTGTGCCACCATGCCCGGCTTTGCTGGAATCTCTTAAAATTCAGATTCTAAGACAGAAGTTCAAGGAGGGGACCTGAGGCTCCAACAGCAGGTCCAAGGGGCACACATGCAGTACAGAACTTCTGGAGCCAGACTCAGAACCAACACACACACTGAAATGGGGCACGGCGGCACACGGCCGAGACCCAAGATGTTCTGGAGACTGAGGCAGGAGGATTCTGGGAAACTCAGAGAGACCCTGTCTCAAAAAAAATTAAATTTTTTTAAAAGGCTGGAGATGCACCTGAGGGCTAGAGCACCTGCCTAGCATGCAAGAGGTCCTGGATTCAGTCCCTAGTGCTCGGGGGCAAAAAAGCACACACCTGTCCCCTGTCCCTACTGTGATCACCAAGACAATGGAGCTCTGATTCAGCAGTTCCTGGGCAGGCCCAAATGTGGCTCATTTCCAAGTAGCCTTGGATGGCTTTCTTGGCCCAGTCCTCCGGCTAACAACTGAATCATATAATAAGAGCTGTTGACCAAGGCACCAGCATGTGGCTGATGATTTAGACCAGTGTCTAAATCTGCCTCACTATGGTGAGACAGTTTCAGTGAGGATTTTGCAAAAGAAGTCAGCTTTCTTAGTCAACAGCAGAACACAGTATCGGGGCCCTGGGACCTGGGCTCAACACAGCTTCCTGGCTGTGAAACGCTCAGTAAAATTGGTCCATTTGGGTCCTGGTTTCTCCATCCATGAAATGACTGGTGTCATCCACTGGAAAAAGGGAGGGTTGTGGGCATCAACTGGGATGAGAGATGTGACAAAATCATTATGGAAGCTAAGTAGATGTAAGAAGTCTCCTGACCCCGAGTTCTCCACAATCCTTCCCACTATCTCTGGGCTCCAAAGCTCAGCAGCACAAGCGCAAGGTCCTAAGTTCAATTCCCAGTACGAAAACAAGAAAAAGAATCTCTTGGCTCTAGAGCCAGACCCTACAAAACAAAAGTCCACACTTGTTTGTCACTTTCCCCTAGTTCAAGAAGGAGGAAGAGGCAGGGGCCTCAGAAACCAGTGAGGTCGGGAGCAGGACCCTGGCCCCTCAGGCAGAGGCACCAGCCACCTCCTGGGCCAACTGCTTGTGATCCACACACCCTGTCACCTGCTGCAGAGACCCAAACCCTGCCGGTCTTTTCCTGAAGCCCCTGTATCTCCCTCTTTTTCTGAAGCCTCCCCTGCCCAGAGAGGATGTAAAATAAATCTACCAAAACCCCAGACCTGAAGTTCACCCCCAAAAGCCTAGAAGCAGTCATTGAATGACCAACAATGAATTTTCTTCTCTCTTTTTTAAATGGAGAAATCGATCCAAAAATGTTTAGTGTGCAGTTTGAGACACTGCAGGACAAGGCCAGGGACCTGGGTGAGGGAAGGAAAAATGTGTTCCTTCCACCCTTCCCCCAGGCCCCACGTGCCAGAGTGTGACACTGAACAAGTCCGTAACCCAGCAGGGCCTCGGCTTCTTCACAACTATGCGTATTATGCTGGGCTTTCTCCCTGAGCGCTGGCCTGGCGCAACCGGCTGCTGGTTGGCTGCCTACCCAACTTAACAGCTCAAACCTGAACAGCTTTACCCCTCACACAGTTTTCACAACGATCAGCGAACAGCCACTCTACCGTTCCAGGTGTTCAGCCCCGAACCTTGGGGATCTGTGAGCTGCTGGCAACCGGGTCACTTCTATCTTCAAACTGCAGCTGGCCAGCAGCTGTTTCTTGCCGCTGTCCCCCACACCACCACTGCAGTTGTCTGGATCACCTTTAGTGTCAGGTCTCCAAAACAGCTAGGAGAAAAAAATCTCCCCAAGCAGATCTGTTATCCACACCCCCTGGCCTCTGAGCCTTCAACAGGACCCACCCACCCTTTGTGGCTCAACCAGCCAGCTGCCTTACGCAACCTACAGAGAGCTGATTCTGGGACAAACGAGAGATGTGCTGTGCCTGCCAGCAGCCCCTGTACCCAACACCACCCTGTCTACCACCTAGCCCTAGACCCCCTACTCAGAGACCCAAAACTTTGTACCTCCCCCGGCAATGCCTCCCTCCCCTACCTAAACTCCCCCATAAAACATGCCCTTGCCCTTTACTCAGGACCAAAGTCCGGGTGATCTTCTACTGTGGTTCAGGTCCTATCTTTCCTCTGCTCAGACATCCCGAGGGGTCACTCGTCCTGGCTTCCACCCAGCACCTTTCTGGCCTGCCTCCTGCTCTTCCACCTCTCTGTGGGCTCTGGCTGCCCCTCCTCCTGCCTCAGGCCCTTTGCACCTGCTGTGCCCTCTGTCTGGCCTATCTTCCCCTCATGGGTGGCCACATGGTCCACTCCTTGCCAGCTCAGCTCCTGGAGGAAATGCCAGCAGCCCCATGAAGCTTTCCTGGGCCACTCTGTTAAGCAGAGACTCTCCAGCCCCTCCTCCCTCTGTTCCACTCGGCTCTGAAACACACACAGGTGGTTACACTGACCTTGCTCACTGCGTTCTCTCTAGGCTCTGGCGCAGAAAAGGCTTTCTCTAGACATTTACTCAGGAATCAAAAATGATTGAATCCCATCTGCAAGTTAAATAACATTAGGGCTGGCCAGATAGCCCAGCAGACTAAAGTGCCTGCTTAGGCAGGTGCAGAGCCAGGGTTTTGATCCCCAGTGTGCCATGCCGGCCCCACCCCTAGGGTGTGCTGAGATGGCAACTGAGACTAGGCATGGTGGTGTGCGCCTGTAATCCCAGCACTCAGAGGGTTGAAAACAGGAGGATCACGACAAGTCAGATCTGTGCAGTGAAACCCTGTAGACCCTACACTAAATACATAAAAAAAAAAAAAAAAGATAAATAACACTAAGTCCCACTGTCACCTTGTACAGGAGGGACATGTGTGGAAATGATAGCCTGGGGGTACAGGAAGGAAACTCGAAGCACTAGGGCCCAGCGTTGAGCAGCAGCTGCTTACAACTCATCCTAGTACTACTAAATACTAAGAGCTATTTATAGAAGATTTCACCAGGCGCCCAACGCGAGGCTGAGTGATACACAACTCCGTGAGGCAGGTACTAAACAACCCCGCGTTCAGTGTGAGTACTGAGGAAATAAAGGTGCAGAGGGATGAAAGTACTGCTGAGGGCCAGGCAGCTCCACGGGGACAGGGTTAGATGAGCAGCAGTCTGCTTCCACGGCAAACCAACATTTGTGAAATGGTGTCTATGTCCCCCTGAGGTGACACTGAAAACGCTGTCTTAGACACCGTTCTGCTTCTCCTCAAGGCAGGAGCTATGGTGGCCTGTATGGGTCCACACAGGCCCTTTCTGTCACCTGCCCTGAGCAGCTCACAGCAGCTCTGCCCCATGGTGTCAAGACACCCCCAAACACAAATGGCTATTAAGTGGCCCCAGCTTCCTACCTACTTTGCTGGGTCTCCCACCCCTCCTTCGCACTTTACGGAGACACCCTTGGAAGCCTGAGTTGATTCCCATAAACCCAGAAGGCCGTGGGCAGTTTCTAGAGAGCTGGTTCAACTCTTCACTCAGCAGCCTGGTGGCCTCAGACACGTTATTGGACCGCCCTATACCTCCACTCCAGAATGGGAACACCAGTGGGTCAGCAGGGCCCGGGGAGATAATCCCCATAAGTCACTTGGCGCAATGCTTGGCAGATAGGAAGGACTCAAGAAATGTTAGCTTCCAGCACCGAACACTAGCATCATGAACAGAGACTCTTCTTGCCAGCATCCTGGAGCAACTAGAACACCACATGAGCATCTCGTGACAGCAAAAGTGCCACAGAATGGTCCACGCCAGCTTCCCTGGACCCTTGCACCACACCAAGAGAATGGTAAAGGGGAACAGTGTTGATGTAATGGAAATGCCCCAACCTTAGGCCTTAGTAAGGATTTGTCATCTGGCCAGGAAAGTAACAAGAACAAAGGGTAAACCTCTAACCAGGCCCCCCGCCCCCCCGTGTCTTTCACTGAACTGCTCTTTCTCCAGCTCAGAAATGGAGATGACCTACTCATTTCAAGGTCTGGCCAGAGCCAACCTGAGCTAGAGGCACCCAAAAATGCTTTGGCAGGACATGATGCTGAGGAATCTCCCAAGGCACTGTCGCTGACCCCCAACTCGGGACGGCAAAAAGCTACACTACACACCTGCTCTCGGAAAGAGAGGGTCTTAGAGTCTGGCCACAGCCAATGTCATTTGGCCTTGTTCGGATTCCATAAACAGACGGAGTAGCGGCCAGGCTGCAGGATAAAGATACCTTCTGTTTCCTTTTCAAATGGTGCAAACCGTCCAGATAGTAATTTAGTAAGCTCCAGTCTTTATTCTTTTTTTTTTTTTTTTAATATTTATTTATTTATTTAGTGTGTGGCCAGCTCAGCCCACCAGGGGGCGGGCGGGCTGGCATGTGGTGCTGGGGGATTGAACCGAGGTCCCTGTGCTTTGATTGGTTTAGCTTGTTCTAAGTAGGTGCTTTAGACCACTGAACCATCTCACCAGCCCCAAGCTCCAGTCTTTAGATAAAAACAAATTTCGTATGGTGACCGAGTACAGTCTTTGGTTGAGCAGCCTTGTATTTCAAAGAAACCCCTATAGTTAGAAGCTGTCTGAAAACCGAGCTCTGCTGTCGCCACGAGCAGCCCCTTTATCCGGTGTTCCCCAAATTTATCACCAGAGGAGAACTTCTTCAGCTCAGAATTCCACCAGCCACCCAGACTCCTCCCTGCAGCATGTATGTACGCTAAAGATTAAAATGCGCCCATTCGACACTTTGCTGCCCTCTGCTCTCTGCCTGAGCCACCGCCTGGGAGAAGCAGGGCAGAGATCTTGGCCTTGTGGTGTATCCAGGATCCTATTTCTGGCCCAGAGAGAGGCTGATCTCTCGGAAGGCACTCCCCTGGATCTGTGTATCGGAAATGCTGTTTGCAACCGAGGACCAAAGCCAAAACTCAGCAGAGCCCATAGGGGAAGTACAGAGCTCCATCTTTGGACGTCACTGTAGGACGCCTAGCAAAAGGGTGTGCGGGGAACTCGGGTGACCCCGGAAGGGTCCCGGCCGAACCCCCCAGGACACCCCCAGCAGGGTTCCACGGGGAACGACCCTGTACGTCGCGCCAGGAGGCCCAGCACCGGCGTGGGTGGAGCGCGGGGGCGCGTCCGAGCGAGCGATCGGGGGGCGCAGCTTACTTCATCCACAGGGGTCCGCGCTGCCTCTTCTTCGGGGTGCGCGCGTCCGAGTCCGGCCCGCGTTGGGGCCCAACCTGCCTGGCTCAGGGCCCCCGGGCGCGCGCCCTGGCCCGCGGCGAAGGACGCGCGCGCACAGTGGCCGCCAGCCGGGGCCGCGCCGGGGCCGAGTAGCTGGCGTCCTGTCACGCCCATCTGGTGACGTCACCAGGAGGCGGGGCCCGCTTGTGCTCTCGGGCGCGCTCTACTGCTCCCACCTTTGAGTGCTCCTTTTTTTCGCTGCGAGGTTGGGGAAACAGCACGCGCTGCCGCGGATGCCGCGGGCCAACAGTGTGTCGCGGAGGAGACCTGCAACCTGGTGTTGGTCCTGCTTGGGGACCGACCTGACCTTTCCAGCCCTAACTCTAACCCTAATCCTAACCCTCATTTGTGGGGTGAGTGGCCAGTGCAATGCGTCGCCAGCACGGAGGATTGTTATTCAAGGGCCAGGACCCCACTAGAGAGCCTCGTTCCCACCTTGGACAGTCCTTGCGGGGGGACTGTCCTATCTCTGTACAGTGGTCTTAATGGGACCACTTCCCCTAGAGGTGTCTCAGATGATAAGGCTGAGCGAATGGAGACTTCTACCTGTGTGACTTTAACAAAGATGTCCCCTGTAATCTTAGCCTTCTGGGAGTCTGAGGCAGGAGGACTGCAAGTTCAAGATCCAGCCTGATCTTGTTTCAAAAAAAAAAAAGTTGAGGGGTGTGTAGCTCAGAGTGTTGGCTCTGGGTTCAATTCCAGTACTGGGCAGTGGTTCTCTAGGTGGTGACAGGTGCGTGTAAGTGGAGTAACAAGCCAGCCACCCCTCCCAGCACCTGGCACATGGTCATTCCTGTCCTCTCAATGTTGGTGCCATAGGAGGAGGTGACCCTCACTCACCCTGTCCTGGCTGATCCCATGCACACTTTTGTTCTGGTTCTACAGCTGTGTGCCCGAATCACCCCTTTCCTTGGGTGGCCCCTTTCTCAGCAAAGCTTGAGTGGCCTGAGCTCATTATGGCAGGACGTTTGCTGCTCTAGCCCGCCACACTCCTTGGACACAGGTACCAGACCCATCACCACCTCAGGATGGAGACTGCATGGCCACCTCTGCCCAAGACCCTTGGACCGCTCAGAAGAGTGAAAATGGGCCACCGTTTTGTGTGTTGGGATGGCTTCCTTCAAGCTGGGAGTGGCAGGAAACAGCAGAAGGACCTTGGCAGTGCCCGGTGGGACCAAGTGGAGCACTGGGCAGGATTGCTGCGCAGATATTGAGCAGGGATTCCAGGGAAGCCAGGGGACTGAGTGCCCCTTCACCAAGCCCTGGGGCCTCTAGGGTCCTTGGGGAGGCCTCAGCCTCAGGAAAGATTTAGCCCACACAGATTGCTGTCAGAGTGGCTGTGGGGAACAAGGTGCCACAGCCAGAAGGAGACAGGAGGGTCCAGGTCAGGGTCACCAACCTAGACCTGCAGTCAGGTGATGCCAGTACTTGGAGCTTTCCCACATCATCTGACCCTATGAAACGGGGCTTCAAGAGCCAGGTCCAGGAAAGCAGTGGGTGGGATGCACAGGTTCCCAGAGAGTGAGAGGCACAGAGGGGCGCATCCCAGATCTCTGTGCAGCCACGACAGATGACCT